ATACATAGTATTTACAAAACCACACTATTGGCAAGTGAGTCGTAGGGAATTTGTAAATTATGTTTTGTTTGTTTGTTAAGTTTTGAATTGAACTCCATTTGCGTATGTTTGAGCGGGCCCTACAAGGGCCACATGCAGGTTTGATGCTGTGTGTTGCTGACCTTGTGGCTACAGAAGCTGCAGACTCTAAACAGCTGTCACATCTGCTCTGTTGTCGCAGTGATGAAGAGACTGTGCTTCAAGTTGATATTTGGCGTATCTCATCTCATCTCCACACAGGTCCAGAGTATCTGTAAGACTTTTTTCACTGACATAATTCAAACAACATAAGCACTCGAATGTTTTTTAATGTTGTAGTTTGACTTTTATGGGCGTTAATAACAAACCCTTTTGCTAGACCAGGGAGTTTTCTCTAGTGAAAAATTGTGGGTCATTAAGAATTGGTGCTAAGGAAGTACATTTTAATTAAATGTGTGCTACGGTTGAGCAGTGGTGACATTGTCCTGCAATGGAAACATGAAATGAGTAGGTTTTGAACCATTTGGGGTCCCAAACATGACATGGAAGAGCTTGCATACATTATCTTCCCACGATCAATATGTGTATATTGTGGTTCATCCTAGCAATAAAAAGTGTCATACCAACTTGAATCAACACACAGGGATCCCAAATGGCATGCTCAAATGGCAACAGTACTTTAACATGTAATTTGGTAAAGTAGAATGATACTACTAGTGTATGTAAACCCTAAATGAGTTATTCTTCTTTAAAACTGTTCATTCCTGTTATTAACATGAATTGTTGGATATTAAGATTGATGGATGGTACTATGTGTTCTGTTCACATATTTCATGAACAGATGTTATGAGATAGTTTTCGTTGCTTGGTTCCAAAATGTGATCTTCCAGTTGTGTTGTGAACAGATCATAACAAAGAATTAGAGTATAGATTTGTAGCTTCAGATTTTTCCAGCGTCGCCTTTGAATCCAGACTGTTGAAGTAATTTAGAGGGAAATGAATTTTAACGGGGACTTTTGTGGTTTAGAGAAATACGTATCGCCAGCTGTTCACATAATGAAATGTTTTATGTCGGTCGGCAAAGTTAATGATAGTTGTGGGGTTTTGTTCTCATGAAGTATTTCTGTTTTCAAGTTTTATTTTTTTTACTGCAATCGGCTGTTGTGATTGTCTTTAAAGGTTTGTTGTTCTCATTAGGTATCTTTTTTTTACCCATCATCCAATGGGTTCCAGAAGAAGAATGTTAATGACCTAATCCACATTTGGCTTGAAAAGTGTTTGTCAGCATTGTTAGATGTTCAAAACTGAATGAGGCATTACACTGAATGAGTTTTGATGATGCTATGTTGTGATGTCAAACCTTGATTCAGAGCAAAAGCTGCAGATGTCAAACACAAGACAAGAATCCAAAAAGTAGGAGAATTCAATTTGTGTCACTTCCATGCAGAAACCTTTCAACCCTAATAACTGTGACACAGTCCCAGAGACCATTTTGCATCCCTCCCTCCCTGAGCATGCTGTCATGTTGGGACTGCAGCATGGTTTGTGTGGAACCAGTGTAGAAATGGTGACGTTGTTCGGCAGCAGATTATATACAACATCAACAGATTCTCAGCAGACAAACTTGTGCAGTGCAACTGTCAAGTGTCTAAAATTATAAATATACAGAAAATCTGTAGATATTTAAATCCAGGGTAGTCAAAAAAGGGAAAGCTTTAAAACCTTGTGTGTTTTGTTTCTTTTCATTTGTACATACTACATTTAAGATGTTTGGTCTGGTTATAGTGCAATATATTTTGTATGCAAGCAGTTTCAATAAATAAATAAATAATGATTTTTCTCCATTAGCTTAAACTAATCTCTGAGTTTCAGCGTGTTAAGCTGCCGAAATGTCAAAACACAAGAAAAGATAGTTTAATAACGTTGGGATTTATCTGACTTTGTTTACGCCTGCTCAGTCAAGCTAATGGACACAATGAATGCTAACGTAGAGAATATCATTTGAGCTTTAGTCTTCTCCAGAACTTTCATGATAACTATAGTGTGTTAGTTATAGTAAATTTATTTCTAAACAGAAATAGATTAAAATCATTCTGAAATAATGTATTAATAATTCAGTCAGGAGAGACTTCAGATAAAGAATGAACGATATTTATAGCTGAGCACGGCATGAGAAGAAAGTGATGTGATTTAAAGTCCATCTGCCTTCTATCATCTCGTGATGAAGAGGAGTGATGCTGTGCGTTCCATAGAACCCCCCCCCCCCCATTGGTTTATATGATCTAGATAACGTTGAGGATCTGAATGAGATGAGTGGACACTAGATGTGGAGACAGAAGGTGACAGAGGAGGAGGGTTGCAGCATCTCACTGCATTAACAAAACAGAATAAATCTGAAGTTTGCCAGCAGTGATATGATTGGCCGATTGAGATCATGGCAAAATCTGATTGGATCATGGTAAAAATGCTGCAAACTACAGAACAAGTGGAGAGAGTGGGAGAGAATTGTGAATGAACAGGACATAGAGGAAGTCGTCCTGACTGGACACTAAGCTGATTTAATACTTATAATAATAAAAATAATACATTTTATTCACAAATAACTTTTCATAGCATAAAATGCAGCTCAAGGTGCTTTACATGAGAGGAGAGTTAAAAAGAGCAACAGATGCTTTAAAGCAGGAGATCATGATATCAGGCTTCCTATCAAACCACAGTGACAATCAAGAGCCAAGGCCAAATGTTTTTTCTTTTGCAGCCTCTGAAATTGGATGAGGAGAAACTCTCCTAAGGGGTTGGAAAAATAAGTGTCAAATGATCGGGTACTAAACACATGAGGAACATACAAGACAACTCAGTCAGTCCTCAATGAGCAAATGTTTTCAAATGACAGTTCACTCAGAACAAATTAGAAAATTCCATCGCTGCCCATTACTGCAAACTAATAAGTAAGTAAGCAAGCCTGAGCCAATACCAGCTGACCATGAGCCGGAAACCTTTTTGCTGTGATGTACAAAATCGAATGTAAAACCAAAATGAGCTAAAAACCTCTTTATATCTTTGACTTGTTATGTGAGTCAAAGAAAAGTTTGAAGAAAGAGATCCGAGTGATAAACTTGTCAGGGTGGTGACACATCAACAGGTTCCATGTAAAAGGAAACGTAAAGCTGAGATACACAGCAAAAAACTTTTTTCTAATCGACCACAATTTATACAAAGGGTCCAACTATACATCCAACTTTCCTGATTCAATTAGGTGCAAATTTAAGTCATTCTTTGTTTACTGTCAGCTCTGTAGCTTTCAGCAAAGTCACACATACTTTGATATATTTAGAAAATTGCCCATTGTGAACTTCTGAACTAACTGTCATATTAATCTTTAGAATTGTTAGTAAGTGACTTACAAACAGGACACTAAAGGGGGGAATCTGATTTGAGCTGGGGCCACTGGCTCCATCCCTGAATCCACCCCTGAAGAAAAGGAAGATTTTTCTAAATGTGAGGAAAGAGGCGCTACAACTACCTGGTACATTTCGCTATGCAATACTTGTATTTGACCACATGGAGGAGCTGTGGTACCATCTTCATTCACCACATTTACTTCTTGTACCAGAGACAGAGACAGAGAAAGAGAAAGAGGGGGAAGCTGAGCAGAAAGCCTGTGCACATGTTGAAAATTCATGACATGCACTTCTCAACTTCTGCAAGATACACAGCAAGTACAATAAACTCAAAGCTGAGAACCGGCTCCTTCCTGACTATTTTATCAGTTTGTGCTTGTCCCTGTGTCTGCGTGTGAGACTCACTCTCTGGGTGTCGCCATTACAATATAAATCACTGGCACAGATGTGGCTTTAACAAGAAAGACGGAAAAAAAAAATCAAGCCTCTAAACCAACAGCTCCTCTGCTTGTAGTAAAGACAGTGAAATGAGCTGGAGATTCATCTGTGTGACTGTCTCTGTCTATCTGCCCTTAATGAGGTTTTATGTTAATGTTTCTCCATCTTTTTTTATCATCCACTTCTCCATCAACTCAAACTAGAATAGCTTTTATAGATTCTGCTACATCTTTCTATCCTTCCCTCTCTCTCCCTCCCTTTCTCTCTCTCTCTCTCTCTCTCTCCAGTCATTCTTTGTCTCTCTGTGTCTGACCTAGTTTTGGACAGGCTTTCTTACACACACACACACACACACACACACACACACACACACACACACACAAAATGTGTTCCTGCAGGTGCTTAAATCCTTGAAAATTGGTTGAATTTCGATCTGGTGTTTTTAAGGTCTGGAGATGTCTGGAATTTTAATTTGTGAGGTTGAAATGGCTGGAATTGATCAAGGTCATGAAACAGCACTTTCAGACTTGCTTATGGCCAGTAGCTTTCTCTCCTCTCCTCTCCTCTCTTCCCCTCCCCTCCCCTCCCCTCCCCTCC